CCCCGTTCAGTGCCCCGCTAGCCCCGGGGATCGGGGGGACGGGGGTTTCAATTGACTAWAGATAAAGTTTTGGCATCATGTATCAATGAATTACATTTTCTGTGATGTATAAGTCAKTATKTACTGTCAAGGCAATCATATAATCCTCAACGGAACCATATATATGAGAGAGTACATCGCAAAAGGGGTCTTGGCTTTGGCGGAAATATCCTGACGTTCAAAAGACGCAATTTATTCACTCGGTGCATCAAAAGGGTCTTAATTCTTTGTCTCCCTTTTGTGCTGTCCATTCTCATATATATATTTACATTTAATTTTTTCTATCCTTATATAATTATGTGATATTATATTAATCTATAAAATATACCATCAATCTCTTAATTTTGTTTCCAGGATTATTAGTACTTCCCTTGAATGATGTCAGCAATTAAATTGAATTATAGAAGCATCTTTGTGAGCTTATGTCTAATTTCTTCTGGTGTGCTCATGCTCTACTTGATCTCTGAATATAAAGTCCATGATAAAATTTTAAGAAGAGTATGTCCATATCTGGAAAATTGTGTTTTACCACACACGTATAGTGGCACCAAGAAAGACATTTCCAGGAAATTAGCTGTGATTTWCCAGGAACTTAAATCAGCTGCTGGTCACAAGTTGCCACCAACACCAAAACTACTCCTTGAACTCAAAGGAATAATAGGTGAACTTGATCCAGCATACAGACTCAGTCAAGATGATAAAGAACCTGTTGAACCAAAGACCACAAATGGTTCTGTATTGCTAGATGTTTGCCCTGAGAAATACATGGGGGAGCTATTTGGTCATCCATTTTTCGAAAAAGGATGGGTGATGCAAAACTGTACCAATGTGAAACCACTTGACAAGGTTTGTAATAAGGTTCAACCAAACAGCCCTTTTAGTTTTGGTTTTAACCATGAAAATGTCAAATTGTTATTGTGGTAGTGAGTTTTGTTTTGTTTTACTGTTGCTTTATTTTATACATGTAGTTAACGTAACAGAGTATGTAAAGTATTTTTTCCTTTTTCACTGTTTTTGACAAGTTTCAAACTACAGTTAGTGGCTTTRAGGCTTCGCTAATGATATCGTAGTAGTGAATTTTGTTTTGTTTTACTTTTTAAGGTKGTCAGTATTGTTGTGAACACWATGCAATATCCTGARCCTATGGAAAAACAAGTTGACAYAGTCTTAAAAGGAATCAATCAAACCTATCCAAGAGTCAAAGTGTTTTTAGCAGCCAAAACTAGTCAAATAAAAGAGACGGCAAAAAAATACCCCAACATCAAAACCATTGCTGTCACTGAAGGAAGTTCATCAGGAAAAGTGTGGAACCAGCTTATCAATGAAGTGTCAACTCCCTACACACTTGTTGCACGCGATGTTGTTCATTTTACTTGGGTTACACGTGTTGAACGACAAATTCGCATGATAAGTACAACAGACCATGTTGCAATAGTYGGAGGATCATTCCGTAATCTTACTGGACATTGGCGAGTTGGATGTCGACAAACTAAACTATTTAACTATGTATTACAGTATGAAGAAGGCTACCACTACTCAAGACACTCATGCATGTTTTGTGATGACTTGGAAGGCCCATTTGTTGCCGAAACTAGTCTTCTGAAAGATCTGAAATTCAGTGAAAAGTATAGCAAAGAAATCTTGTTTGAAGAATTCCTTCTTCGGGTTTTTCGAACTGGAAACTTAATAATGAACTGCCCTGATGCAATGTATTWCACAACAGACTACTCTACAGAAACTAAACAAAACAGCAAAGCAATATGGCAGCCTCTTGCAACAGACTTGAAGTTGGTTCGAGTTGTGCTAGTTGATTATGGTGTAAGACACAAGTTCTCGTGYRGRGAGATTTCCTACAAGTGTAAGCCTAGGGGAATAACAAAACACGTCGCCCTGCCAATGTGCTGTTTGGAGCAGTTTGGAAAAGCAATGAMGTTTTTCCACGACATGAGTATGGACAAGAATATACACTATGTACTTGATAGTGGTTCCATCTTGGCAGCTGTCAAGTTCAACAACTACAGTCCTTTTGACCTTGATGGAGACATAATTGTGTCAGCATACAACATGTCCTTTTTACATGAGAATGAAGGATATGTATCACGACATGGATTTAAACTTACTGGTTACGAACCTGTTACTTTTACTAGTGATGGAAAACTTAAAAAGTTTGGCTACTTTCGTTATTATAGTCCTGATATTTATACAGAAGTATGSGGCTTCCCTGATACGTCAGCTCAAAGATTTGTCCCACCTGCATTGAACAAATTCTCACTCTACACAAAATGCAGAGTTAATGGCCATTGGATAAATTGTGTTCATTTTCCTGGTCTTTATGCAAGGAACCGATATGGACCAGATGTACTGAAACATAGTCAAAGCTGGTTGCAATTTAGTAACATGAAGAGTAGCTGGGAAAGATATAAGCCAGG